ATTAATAAATGTCTGTTTGAAACAGGTTGTTTTTTAAAACATGGCATACTTTTCCATGCAGTTTTTAAGCTTCATATGCATTGCAAAGAGAAAGTTTTTTAGACAGGATGTTTCCAGATTAGGTATGATTTGCAGAAGTGCAAGCAATGATTGGAACTTGTCTGATCCTAACTGACTACCCTTGAAAAAAAAGTTAAATTCTTTTAATTGCCTGCTCTCAGTGGTTTTATTATTTTTTTTTAATAAAATTAGGATGGGGAAAAGAGAGAAAACTATTTATTGTTAAGCTTCTTTCTCTGAAGATATTTGTGAAGTAATAACATTTCCCTTTTCTTAACCTTGGAGAAGTAATTTTGGTAAGAGGAAAAAAGTTTAATGATATTGGCCAAAAAAAGAAATGATTCTCTAGAAAGAATTTATTCTTTCTAAATTTTTAGAAAGAATTAATTCTTAATTAATGAAGAATTAAGAATTAATTCTTAATTCTAATACTTAGAATTAATTTCTAATTTTTAGAAAGATTTTATTCTTTCTAAAAAGAAGAGATAAATTTTCAAGAATTCTGGTGAAAGTTGAGTTTCAGTAGCTCCTTTCAGGAAACATTCTATGTGCTTTCAATTAGAAAGTAAATTGTCCCAAGTGCATTTCAAGCTCCATACACAAATTGCCTTTTCACTTGAAACTTTTATATGTGGTCTCTTGCCAGAGGACACTTCCAATATGAGAACATACATGGTTGCTTAAGGTGCTTTTGACATACAAGTCAAAGAAAACCTGAGTTTCTTAATGCTCAGCTTATTTTTCCTTATAGTCGGTCTTTAGGCATATTGATAAAACACATCATAAGCCCTTCTTTTATGCATGAATTCAGGAATAAATAGAAGTATGATCATTGTAATGAAATGTGTTGTCTAGTAATTCAATATGGTGGTGTAATCTAGTGTAAAAACTCCTCTCCTTCCTCACTCCTACCCTTTGTCATACACCCCAAATTTTCTAATGTAGGCCAGGACTGGTTTCAGAATCGTTCTGGAGTAATATGAGGCCAATGAGATTATTGCTAGACTTGTCTGTGGTGCTGGACTATTAGTCTCTCTGTTAGTTTGTTGGTGGTGCCCAATTCATGCAATTTATTCCTATATTCTTCTGTATTCATCAAAGTTCATGTGTGCCTGTTAATTTGAAAATGTTAAATATAGAGAGAATTAGGCTTAACTGTGAGAACTTAATAAATTTAAATACATCTAATTTACAAAGAAACTCTTCCTCTAGTAGAGAACTTGTATAACTGAGCTCTTTATAGTTTCCTGTAATTTTTCATTTCATATGCTTAAATCCACATTCACATTTCTTTGAACTTCAGAATTTGTTGGGATTTGGCAAAATTAACATGTTCTCACAGAGTTCAAGTACCTATGGTAGTGAGGTTTTAAAAGACGACCAATGGCAATGTGATTTTTGGAATCTTTTCCTACAAAGTGGAGCCAAACATGGAAATTTTCAGTGTCATCAGTTTATGGTTCACAGAAAGATAAAGGGTTTGATCAAGATTTCTTAAATGTACTTTCATCTAAATTAATATGAGACCTTTTTGGCTGGGCATAGATGTAAAGGGTTAGAAAAGAGGAAAGAGAAGATAAGCTTATATGTTAAGAATAAATTAATTCTGATATTTTACATTTCTAGTTAAATAGAATTTGTTCAGTCTTTCTAATGGTATATTTGGCTGAAGAAACATTATCGTTTAGACCCTTTAGGTAAATGGCTGTGTTTTTACTTAAAGATTTGATTGCAATATTAATATACTGTTGATTTAGATTTTAAAGTTCAGACAAGATGATCATGTGGAAGCATTACCAAGGCTTTCTTTTCCAGGAGAATGGAAGCAGTCTGCTTTGAGGTGTTAGAGAGAAGTAGCAGCTCCTATACTATTGCATGCTGTGATTTACAGATTTGTACATTTTACCTAGAAATACCAGAAGCTAGATTTACTGACACAATGGTCTCTCATGCCTGTTTTGACCTTGCCTTAGCTATAGTCACCGCCGTCTTTAACCTATGTGTTTCTTCTTCCAATGGTTATTTGGTTCTGAGGTCTTTGTTCCTATTCTGTCTTTATTTTTTTATAGATCTTGAATTTTGTGTTAATTTTTAAAAAATCTTGTTTACAATTCCATTTTCCTTCTGTTCGTTACTCAGTATGAAGCTTACCACTTGAAATGCAGGCACTCACTGACAGTTCCATGATACCATCTCTAAATTGCCTGTTTTTCTAAAGAAAAAAAAAATCCTTTTTTTTTTTTTTAGCACTTTGTGCTGTTTTAGGCAGTTTTATGTAAATAGAAGGTAAAACTTTGAAGGGCATTAACAGCTTTGGTGTAGTCTTTTGTTTAAGAGCTTCAGCTGAATCTTATCTAATCAGAACAACACAGTCACTGATGTCTTAGTAACCTTAATATAATACATCAGAAACTGAAAAAAAGAAGGATCAGTTTGCAGAATCCTCGCATTCCTGAAGCCACATG